CACAGCAGGCGTTTCCAATGTTTTTCTCGAGGCCGCAGGCTTGGGATTTCCTGTCTTCTCAGGCATTTGCTGAGCAGGCCAAGATCAGCTTCAGAGGAAGGCAGGAATGGGGCTTCCTACATTGCTGTCTGGTGGCTCACTCTGGCTCCTTTCTTCTCCCCCGCTTAGGGTCTTTTTTTGTGTATTCTCTCTCCTACTCCTGACACTTTTTCTGCCCCCAGATAAATGTCCGGCCACCTGCTTCCCTGAATCATGAGATCATGATACAATCAACAAATCCAAGTTGCTGAGAGGCCCTGGGAGCCACAGCTGGATCCAGCTGGAATCCTGAAGGCTGGCTCTAGCTACAGTTTTCCACCCTCAAGAGAAGCGCGCGGCGGCTTCGCAGAAACCTCCTAACTTAACCAGGGCGGAGCAACGAGAAGCTATGCCAAGAATTGCTATGCGTATCCGGCCTGATTTAGGAGTAACTGATACACAGCCTAACACCCGCAGAGCACCGTTCTTATTAACTGTTCTGGGACTTTGCCCTGTCTTAGGTTGACCGTCCCCTCCGTCTTTTTGCAATGTAGAGAGGACGGGGTAAACAGCAAAACATATGACCTCCATTCCATCTCCAAACCCCACCAGAACAACTGGAAAGGAGCTGCAATGTAAGTTAAAAAATAAGGCCGATCATAAACAGTTCCTGAAACCTAAGCAGCTGGTGAGCCTCCTGCCACATTATCCTTGCAGCAAGTAAGCTTCAGTGGAAACTCTACACTCCAAACCCACAAATCCCTACCCTTTGACTGATGCTAAAAATCCCCCCAAATAGGCACTTTGTGCCTTTAGCTGAGGGCGCACCAAATGAATTAGTGAACGTGGGTAAGAGCTGGGAGGCAACTACCAGAAGTGGCTGTGGGCTAGGGTTACAGGCTCTTCTTTTCCTGACCTGGATATTACAGGTCCAACAACTTAAGACGCTTTAAAGGAGTTTTGTAAAACATGTTTTAGAAAATAAGGTAGGCCCAGTTGGGCACAGTGGCTCATGCCTGTAATCCCAATGTTTTGGGAGGCTGAGACGGGAAGTGTTGGAAGCCAGGAGTTTAAGACCAGCCAGGGCAATATAGCAAGACCCATCTCTACAAATATTTAAAAAAAAAAAAAAAAAAAAAAGCCAGGTATGGTGGCGTGTGCCTGTAATCCCAGATACTTGGGAGGCTGAAATAGGAGGATGGCTTCAGCCCAGGAGCTGGAGGCTGTTGTGAACCATGATCGCACCATGGCACTCCAGTCTGGGCAACAGTAAGACCCTGTCTCAAAAACCAACCAACCAGAAAAAGTAAAGCTCAATTAAAATTAAAATCTGTCTGGCTGGGCATGGTGGCTCAAAGCCTGTAATCCCAGAACTTTGGGAGGCCAAGGCAGGTGAATCATGAGGTCAGGAGTTCAAGACCAGCCTGGTCAAGATGGTGAAACAGTCTCCACTAACAATACAAAAAAAAAAAAAAAAAAAAAAAAAAAAAA